TGGGGGTTTGTTGATACACGGTCCTTTTACGGCTATCCTATTTTAAAGATCCCAGAAAGGATAGATAGAAGGCCAACCAGAAGAGCTTGACAAAGATCATTACAGGGGGTACTACTTCAAACACATAAACCCGAAACGGCAAGCCCGAATCGAAACCCTAATCCTTGCCTGCTGCGTGCGAGAGTGACCTCAAACCGTCAGCCGTAACATAAGGCCTGAAAAACCATATCCCGATGCCAAACTGCGCAGGGGTAGATTCTGTTGACCCCAAACGAGCCATGCGAGGCTCATATCGGCTTCGGCAAATGGGGGGTGGAACGCCAACGCAGCAACTGGGTGCCGCCCTCAACATGTAAGGCTTCAGGGTGTTAATTTTCAGGATTCAGGAATTTCTTATTACCCTTTCAAGGAGTTCTTTAAAGTGAAACGTAGTCTCAATATTGACATTCAGGCGATGGGTCACCCTTACAGGAACACTTCTAAAACCCTTGACAGCAGCCCCAGGAGTTACTACGGCCCCTACTTTTAAGGACGCAGCTGCTTTCGAGTGTCTAGTCCCCAGAGACTCCAAAACCCCTTAATATACCTTAAATTATAATAGGATCCCTAATATGATTTAAGGTATATTCCTTAATTAAGGTTTTGGAGTCTCTGGGTCTAGGCCAAGGAGGCGAAACCCCTAATGATGGGTTTAGAGTTTATAGGGGCCGGGTTTAGGGTTCAGAATTTAGGGGATCCGTCTTGAGGGTTTAGGGTTCAAGGTTTAGGGTTTCGGGCTTAGGGGTTTAGGGTTTAGGGTCTCTGGGTCTCATACTGCCTCTAGGATTGTCCTTCCGGGGCTTTCAGGGCCCAGGGCTCCTTGGGCTTACTGTGTGCTTGTAGGGCTTATTGGGCCAAGAGGGTTGCTATGAAGGCCCTATAGGGCTTCCAGGGGTTTATATGGGTTTAGGGTTTAGGGTAGATTTTCGAGTTGGCAAAGATACAGTTTAGTGATTCGGTGTACAAGATCTGGAGAGACGAGCTGCACTGAGGCAAGTGCCTTTAAGCCCTCAGGACTCGCAGGCATCATGCAGAGGGAGTGATCTGGCGGCCACGTCTAAGGCAACTGCAGGCAAAACGCCAGGTCAAGTGAAGGCATAGCTTAAGTAGTCTTATCCTAAGTTTTGAAGAAGCCCTCGCTGACCCGTACAACATTATGGTTCTCATTGCAGAGCCCTCAAAACCCGCAGACCACAAAACCGCTTGAAACCATCATCGAACCTTCATAAAGCCTTCCGAGAACTCCGAAAGACCAACCTATATGAACCCTAGAACCCTAAACCCACCAGCCTCGCCTGCATTGTCAAAGTGTGAGAGCCGGCACCCTAAACCCTAGAGCCCTAAACCCTAGATCGGGACCTTATCTTGCCATGCCAGCTTCGTGCGAGTGGGTGTGCCGAAACCTAAACCCTAAACCCTAAACCGCTGTGTCGAAACCCTAGAACCTTAAGAAACTCGCTGACAAGGTATGGCGCGCAAGAGCTCCAGCACAGACTTGCAGGGAGACCCAGATTTACATCGGGCCCCGAAAGCCCAGCCAAATGCCTAAGGCCCTGTAGTTTCTTATAAGGTTGAGGGGTTAGGTTTTGATCATCGTATGACATGTGTGTATATATTTATATTTATATTTATATTTATGTATATATATATATGTATATGTATATATATATATATGTATGTATATATGTTTATATGTGTACATACACTCAAGGCTCAGCGTGTCGTAGTGCCCCTGCAGGCCAGCAGCAGAGGGAGCCGATAAGCGGGCCTGCAAAAGGGCGCCAAAAGGTTGGATCCCAGCATAACTCATCAAACATATAAGATCCCAAACCCTAACCTAAGATCCCTAAACCCTGAAAGGGTAAACCCGTTTATGTGGCCGTTTGGAAATCATCAGTGGGAAAGACATAATTGAGACTAGGCTGGAGGAGTTGCAGTTGACATAGCAGTCGCAGTAGCAATAGGAATGGCAGTAGCAGTAGCAGCAGCATTAGTAGCAGGAACGGTAGCAGTAGTCTTCGTTGTCACCACTGTAAGCTTAGTAATGTTTGTTTTTTTTACCCGTTGCGGCTCCTCTAGCTTTCATCATAATAATGTTGCTGCCGCCATGTCCGCCACTCCATGACCGATATACCATCATCACCAAAGCCACTAGCGCCGTCATGTCATCATGACGTATATCTTCGATGTTGCCGACGGTCTTCGCTCTCGGTTTCGGTGGTTGCTGCTGTTCGCGATGTGGCTGTCACTGACAAGTTGTGACAATGATGACAGGCAGGAGGGGGCACGAAACATTTGCTTAAGTTGGCTCGGCTGATGACCACCGGTCCACAAGCACCCAGTGACCTACTGTTGCGGCATCTTCGTTTTGTGAAGCGGTGAGGTGTCGCACATGCGTCTGCGGACTTCGAGCCATTTATTGCACGCTAGACTTTGAGCGGGTTTTGAGAGCACGTACTCCTCACCAAGCCTTCGACGAAAGCCTTGGAAACAGAACCCATAAGCAAGATAAGAAGCTAATCTTCTCAACTGCTATGCCAAGGCCCGAATACCAAAATCTGAAACTCGAGATGGAAGCCAATTCGCCAACAGTCCCACAGTTTACCCGCTGAGGTCATCCATCATCCGTCGAGCCCCACGGCAGCATCTGGCAACAGGAGCACTGATCGAGCTCATGTACTGTGTCAAGAAAGAGTTCACAAGGGTAACCAGACATGTATCTCCGGATACATATAATACACAGCAGCCATACACATGTTTATATGTAAGTGCAGACATGTTCACAGAAAAAAGGTATGCATGCAAGCTTGTAAACACCCCCCCCCCCGCACACACCACACACACATATTATATATATATATATATTTATATTCATATATATATATATATTCATATATATATATATATATGTGTGTGTGTGTGTATGTATGTAGGTGCATGTAATAGATGCTGATATATATATATATATACAATATACATATATATATATATATATATCATGTATATATATATATATGTAGGTGCATGTATTAGATGCAGATATATATATATATATATATCATATATATATATATATATAGGTTTCATGTATTAGATGCAGTTATATATATATATATATATCGTTCAAACATAAGTATGCATACATACATACATACAGTTTATATATATATATATATACATATATATGTAGGTATATATATATATATGTATGCTTGTCGAGTGCGAGTGCCAAACATATATATATATATACACATGTTTTTAGTTATGTTTGTATTTACCTGCCTTGATACGTATGCATGCAGATATGTATACAGCTACATGTCTGCATACAGATCGGCCAGATACTTAACTACTTGGGTAAGCATATGTATAAGAACACATGTGTATATATATATATATGTCTATGCACATAGGGAGAGACATATGTATACAGGTAGGTTATATAGCTGCGTATATGTATGTGTATATGTATACATGTAGCTTTGCCTGTGTGTATGTAAGTATGCTTGTGTACGTGTATGTATGTATGTATGTATGTATGTATGTATGTATGTATGCAAGCATGTATGTATGATTGTACTGTATTGTACTGTATTGTACTGTATTGTACTGTACCGCACTGTATTGTATTGTATGTACTGTATTGTATTGTACTGTATTGTATTGTATTGTATTGTATTGTATTGTATGTATGTATGTATGTATGTATGTATGTATGTATGTATGTATATTCGTATGTATGCATTTATGTATGTATACATGTCTGTGTGTATGTATACATGTATGTATGTAGGTATGTATGCAAGCATGTATGTTTGTATATGTGTATGTGCGTCTGTACGCACGTATGTATGCAGGCATGTATGTCTGTATGTATGTATGTACATATGTATGTAGGTATGTATGTATGTGCGTGCGCATGTAACGTCTGTCTGTCTGCCTGTCTGTCTGTATGTATGTACGGACGCACGTATGCATGTATGATGCATGCATGTATGTAAGTATTTATGTATGTGGTAAGCAGGCTGGTAAGCAGGCAGGTAGGCATGGAGGCAGGTAGGCAGGTGGGCAGGTAGGCAGGTAGGCAGGCAGGCAGGCAGGTAGGTAGCTAGGTCGTCGGTCGTTAGGTAGTAAAGGGCTTTTCACTAAACCTCGGGATTGAACACCTAACGCCTTTTCGCTGCTCCTGTGCTTCTAGGCAGTTGAAGGCTCGGTTTTCGCCGCCAGCGGTCCCTCGGATGTCGTCTCCTAAGGACCCGGCATGGAAGATGGCCGTGAAAACAACGGAATCCGACTTCGACGAGATCGCGGACATTAACGATATTTAGCCTTGGTAGGTGTGGCCGAACTGGCAACTTTTACCTCCCGTGAGGTTTGCATTAGGGGCTGGGGAGTGATGTGAACACGAGGTATATGTTACTTCATGTTTTCATTCTTGAGTTCGACTTTGCTGGCACACTGTCCAGCAAGTCTGATGGCTGTCTCGGGGCAAGACATGTAGATGACCTGACGGCCTAATTTGCTCGGTGCGCGCCGCATGTGTGTGCGGCATGGTGCTAAGCAGACTTTCCATGGTGCAAGCGTGGGGAGGCTCCATTTCCGGGAGGATATGCGAAGCAACGCGTGTCCTCTTGCCCTTTGACATCTTGTGGTCAGTGTGTCCACAGGTCTAAATTCGATTAAACCCGCTGGTGAGCACGAGACAGCGGCCGAGGGTGTGGGGCAAAAAGGCTGTGTGCGCCTGGGGGCTGACGTGCGCAGCCGGTGAGTCCTGAAGGCCCTCACCCACAGGTACATGACCAGTCACACGTCCTTTGTTCGTTTGTATCCCTTGCTGCGAATCCACATGAGGCGACACGAAACCGTTGCAGGAGAATGGTACTGTAGCCCTCCCAACAATCCCAGGACGACTGCTCCGATCGCACCTTCTGCCGTCAGCCATTTTGTGGGGCCACCCCGACATGGGGCAGAGCCGCTTGTTGTCTTTGGCATTAGTTTCGATTTTCCTGCTTCGCGCCACTGAACGAACGTTTCTGGGTGTACGACAGCAGCCTCTTCACTACCTCGCACGGCGGGCAAGGTCCTGCATCTTGGTAGCTAAATAAGTAAACTGTTTTTTTGGTGTAACAACCTTCAAACTTTTGGGGTTCTTATATTTTTGTAGCAATCTGAAAGTTTAACCTCTTATTTCCCTGGCTTATGGGGAAGTAAGGTAATATGATCTCTTTTAGAACTCAAAGCGTAGACTCTTTCGGGCTTATGAACTCAGCAGCTAAGGCAGTGCGCCTGACACACCAGCCATGTCCTCGGTGAGTTTCTCGCATGTCCACATCTACTGCGATGCTCTGAAGGACTTAGCCGAGTACAAGAAGCCACTAGGCTTTGGTCAGTTTTCATCTTCGGTTACCACACTGGGGCATAGAGGAGGCACACTAAATTCACTCTTTTTCTTTCGCGCACTCCCTGTGAGGTCCTGCATTGAAGCCCTTTCCAACCTCCTCGACCTCCTTCTTAGCACGAGATCCTTTACCCTACTTAAGCCCGAAACATCAAGTAACAACCCTAAATCCCTAAACCCTAAACCCTAAGCCCTAAACCCTAAACCCTAACCCAGGCTCGAAGCGAAGCTGAATGAGTTTGGCCGGCAGCCCTTGGAGAACGTGGCAGCAGGCCGGGACGCGTGGTTGGCCCTTGCCTCCAGCCATGGCAATCCCGTGACGGGAGAGCGAGACCCGGCTCCTAAGGAGGTTGGGTTTAGGGTTTAGGGTAGGGCTTCTAGGGTTTAGGGTAGGTTACCGGCTCTTCCTAAGGAGGTCGGGTTTAGGGTCTCAGGCCTCGGGTAGGGCTTATCGGGTTTAGGGCTAGACATGGGTTGGAGATGCTCGAAGGGTTTTGGTAGGTCCATTGTGTGGAGCTGTACTTCTGAGTTCCTTGAAGAATTGCACTGCCCAGGAGATCCCCAGAAATGGACAGGTCACAAGCAAGACGTGGTAGAGCAGATGCTTGTTGGCTTGGGCTGGCGTGTCCCGGTCCCTTTTAGTATCAGGATTTAGTGGCCATGCTGGTTATTGAGGTTTCTAGACTGATACAGAGTCTTCGGGCACCCGAAACCTTAAAGCCCTGACGTCAAAAACTCCAGGGGGGGTCTTTACACACCGACAACATTACACCCTAAGCCTAAACCTCAAAGAACCCTTTTGAACGTGACCTTGGTTTCTGACGGGGCGACCAAGGTGTCACCGGTTTCGGCCAGACAGCATCCACCCGCTCGGTGGCCGTCACCAGCAGCGACAATGAGGGTGTGAAGTTCGTGATCACGGCCCACAAGGACAAAAGCATGGCTGATTTCGCTTCTGCAGATGGCCACCCTGCAGCCAAGAGGCAGAAGTCGGAGAAGGAGGCATTTGACCACCTCGGGGAAAGCCACCTAGAACGCTTCTCGCAGCATCAGGCTGGCCGACAGGGCGTGGCTGTGCTAGGCTTCCAAGTGAACTCCGGCGAGCTGGACGGCATCGTGGCCAAGTATGCGGAAAAGCACCCCAAACTCCTCCCACCTGGTATGCCCAAGGAGTATCCCGGCGTGCGCATCCTCGAGGTCTACGCCTATTACCAGGGCGAGAAAGGCACGACGGAGGTGGACTGCGGCACAATGCTTCGGTTCGTAGAGTGCTCCGACCAGAACGCGGATCATTCGGTGCTTCCAGGTCTGAAACCTTGAAACCCTTAGTAGATCCCAAAGAGCCCCTTTTTGGAACTCTACTCTATTTAAATATCAAAAAACCCCTCAGGCATCGAGAAGGTACCTGCCACCTTCGATCCGAGCAGCTTGCCGGCATACTGTGATCATTGGGTCAGCAACGTCGTGAGCCGTCGCGGCTTCCTCGACACCTTAGAGGACACCTTGGGCTTCAGCCCCAAAGTGGACTTCAACGCCGGAGTCGTCGCGGCAGGGGAGGCCCAGATTGAGTCCACCGTCACCGGCAACGAACCAGGCACCTTTATTGCCAACGAGCAAATTGCGCTCAAGGATCAGAGTCAGGTGGGGGGTTGCGGGGCGCTTAAAACTACAGCAACGGTGTTGACGCATTGAGGGATTTTTAAGAGTCAGGCTTCTATCCAACTTAAGCTCGAACTTCTATCTTGGGGCGACCTAGATGTTTGGAAAGTTCGAGGTCTATCTCCCGATCAACAACGCGTTGTCCGAAGTGGGCCATGTCCATCTCTATCTCCAGGAAATCGGTCAGGGCGTGCAGCACATCGCCTCGCGTGTGGCGGATCTTCCGGCGTTGGTACAGCGGGCGAACGATTGGCGCCGGATGACGGGTGCAGGGGTATCTTTCTTGTCCATCCCAAGATCCTACTACGGCAGCTTGACCCCGAAGTACTTACACAAGGTGGCCGGCCTGGACGATGTCATGGCGCAGAAGGTCGCGGCCTCTCTCAAGGCGGCGAGCGTGGTGGACGCCAGCGACATCGTCGACTTGGATGTTAGCAAGGAGAAGATCCTAGCGGCCTTGCCAGAGGGCTGCGATGAGGACCTGGTGACCCACATCCTGCGGGCCCGCTACGGCAACCTCTATGCGTTGCTTCGGGACAACATCGGTGAGGAGACCTATCTTCGCATCGTTCGGAACAACGTCTTGGTGGATGTTCAGGGGGAAGACCTCTTGATGCAGATCTTCACCTCAAGCATTCTCCAGAGGGCCCCCGGGGAGGAGGCACCCTTCCTGGAGTTCATCCAGCGCGTCTGCTCCGATCGCAAGGATCCCGTCTCTGGGGAGCCACGACCCATCAAAGCAGGCTGCGGTGGCTGTTGGGCCGTTCATGCATACCCTTTTTTGGCTTTAATAGACTTTTTTTCGTCAGGCGGAACAAAAACAAACACGTGTACAATGCAATAGAAAACCCCAACACACACACACACACACTCTCTCTCCCAACTTTCTGAAGCACCTCCAAGAAGAGCCCAGGCTTTGGCATCCGAAACTTCCTCACCCTCTTCCTTTCCATCGAAGTTTCGAAGGCCACCAAAGCCCGGGGAACGCTAAACCCGAAACCCCGATACCCCTAAACCCCAAACCCCTAATGCCCTAACCCCCAAACGGCCGTAGACTCTAATCCCTAGACCTAAACCCTACCCCCTAAATGGCCCTAAGCCCAAGCCCTACACCCGAAACGCTCATCCCTAAACCCTAATCCCGAACCCTCAACCCTAATACCCTTAACCCTCATCCCCAAACCCTCAACCCCTAGTACCCTAAACAACCTTCATGATACCCGAAAACCCTATGCGCCCCAAAAGCCCCCCTTTCTACCCAGAGACTCCAAAACCCCTCAGTTAAGGAATATACCTTAAACTATAATAGGATCCCTAATATGACTTAAGGTATATTCAGGAATATACATTAAATTAGAATGATTTAAGGTAGATTCCAAAATTAAGGGGTTTTGGGGGTCTCTTTCTATCCCCGTTTTAACCAAGGCCACCAAAGCCCGGGGCGAGGCAGAAGCTGTCGGGAACTTGGGCCTGGCAACTTACTATGGCAGTGCCCTGGAATATGAATAGTTTAAGGTTTAGGGTTTAGGGGTTTAAGAGTTTAGGGTTTATGGCAGTGCCCTGGGCCGGACGGGACGAAAGGAACTTTTTTCTGTTGAGAGAGGTCTGCTCATGTATTATATATACTCAAATAGCTTAATAGCTGTGCATTTATATATACGGCAGTGCCCTGGGCCGGACGGGACGAGAGGATAATTTTTTGGGGTTGAGAGGGGTTTGCTTGTGTATGTATATACTCAAAGAGCTTACTATCTGTGTATCTATAGTCTATATACATATAGGTATATGTATGTGTATGCACACGTATGTATATATATATATATGCTAGCCCCCCCCCCCCCAATTGACCAACTCTAATACTTTCACTGACTCACGAATATGAATACTCATAGTAGTACTGCCATTAAAGCTACTATTGGTATTAATATTAGTAATATATTAATGCTAATACTTGCATTAGTAGCAAAACTAATTCTAGTGTGAATACGAATGACCCTACGGCTACTTACAATCGTACTCTTATTAGCAGTATTAATATCCATAAACAACATGCATACTAATGCCTGTACCAATGCGGGTGCATATAATAATACATGTATGCCTCCTGCGAGTAAAGATATTCTTACGCTTATTATGCATAATATTCATGCATTAAAACTTCGTACTCGTACTACTATTTTTTGGTATGTATATTAATGTTAGCATTAGTTCTTACTAACATTTATTTCCAGACTGATATTCTTCCTGCGAATAAACATTTTTCGTAATCATATCAGTTTATCTTAATACTAGTATTAAAAATAAATATTACAAATACTTACACGAATACTGGATTTAATGAATACTGATAATCTCACGAATAGATATACTTATACAAATGTTAATATATAATACTATAAATGTTTGTGTTCCTACAAATCCTAGTAATCATATTCATATTACCAGAAATATGAATAACAATATACATACTGATGCTAGTACTATTTCTCTTAATACTTATATCAATAATAAATAGTACTGTTAATACTCAAACCAATATACATACTAGTGCTTATATCAA